CTGGCAGAAGTATATGCTGATTTAATCGCAGTCATATCAATCAATGTTAACTTGGAAAGCCACAATATTAATATTTTAATTCAATAACATAGGTGACATTATTGTGGCACATCAGTAAAGCCTTACATATAAATATATAAAGGTGGCAGACATAATTTAATGAATTTTAACTTAACAATAACTGAATGAGTTTGTTTCACTCTTAGACCAGCAGGGGTACCAAATCTATGAAGACTGCTGCAATAAGTACATTAATTAACTGTCTCATCGATGTTTGTCTGAATGAATATGATACTATTAACAATCATATTATTCCTATCAGCTGTCAATCACTGTTATGATGCACATATTCATTTATTATTGAATAAACTATATTTTTTGGAGGAGTTAATGATGAATGTTCCTCAAGATGCTTGCTCACCCTCCTTCAAATTTGAACGACAAGTAATTATTGTATAGTATAGTATTGTATTGTATAGTAATTCATTATTATTATTATTATATGTATCAAAATTCAAAAGATTCAAAGGAACAGTTCAGCGCCCCACGACTTTACTGCAAACAGTTACAACCTTGACTTTACATCAGAAAGAACAAACATTAAAGAAGTGACTAACTGCATCAGTTAGGGTTAAAAAACGTGTATTCAGCTAAAACATATACATCGCTGCAGTAAGTTATTATCCAGTGGAAAGTCCTTACCTACTGGCCTAGTTAAATCAAAGTGGTTACTTTTTTTTGGCTGGGCAGTGTAGTTTTGCACACCGTCTTATTTGACTTTCTCAGGACTTAAAACTGTTTTTTGGGGGCAGACCCCCACAAAGAAAAAAAATATATACACACATACAAGGTCATCATCTTAACCGTTTTGTATGCTCATCGAGTCATCCGAGAGCAGAGCATCAAGTTGGCATGCCTATTACAGCTGAATGCGGCGATTACCATTTTGTTCAGCAAAACGCCTCACAAACTTATTAAGATCAACAGCTTTAGTGCGTTTTGATTCAATGCTGAGTACAGCCAAACTTGGCAGTCTCTTCTCCGTCATTGTAGACCGCAAATACCTCATTCCTTCCGTCTACTTGAGTCCGAATGCTTCTCGTTTTGCGCCGTCCCCCCCCCGTTCAAATGAAAACGCCGCCAATCATATTTCCAAGCTCGCGCCAGGAGGGAGGGAGGGGTTACAAGACTCGCGTCTTGTGCTGCATTCACTTGCACTCGGACATTAGAGATTTTCTCTCATAAATGTCCGATGAGCCACAACTTTTCTTTCAAAACAAAGATGGGTGGCAGGCGGGGGGGCAAGGCTATTTTTTAGGGTGGCAGTTTAACTGCAACATTCAGAGGATGTTTTGAGGATGTTATTAAGGCCTGAGATGACAGAAAGTTTTTTATAAAACGTTCCTTTAATGTGATATGTTAACAAAGGTCGAATATTTTGCCTGCAACATTCTGAGGATGTGTTTTGGACGTTGTTGGGTTAACAGATTAAAGATGTTCTTTAAAAAACGTTCCCTCAATGTTACATGATAACAAAAGAAGAACATTCAAGGAAGTTTTTCCTTGTACGATGTGAGGGTCTAAGGACAGAGGGTGTCGTATTGTCATACTGATATTCTGTACAAACTGTGAAGTCCACTGAGACAAATGTAACATTTGTGATATTGGGCTATATAAATAAACATTGATTGATTGATTCTCCAAGCAACATTCAGAAAATGTTTTCAGGATGTAATTGAGGCCTGAGATGATAGAAAGATTTTTATAAAATGTTCCTTTTAATGTGATATGTTAACAAAGGTGGAACATTTTGCCTGCAACATTCTGAGGATGTGTTTTGGACGTTGTTGGGGTGACAGATTAAAGATGTTCTTTATAAAACGTTCCCTCAATGTTACATGATAACAAAAGAAGAACATTCTCCAAGCAACATTCAGAAAATGTTTTCAGGAGGCTATTCTTTTTTATAAATGTTCCTGTGACAACATCCATACATTCATCTGGCTGCTACTTAGAAATTATTTATCTATTTATCTAATATATCATATTCGAATAACTTGCATATACTCTCTTATTGCACTATTTCACTTTTTTAAACTATTTATTTTTGTATTTACTATTTACTTGCACTATATTTTTCTGTTTATCTGTTTTATTATGTTGCACTGTTGGAGGAGCCTGTGACCTAAGATTTTCATCGTCATACTACACTGTAGCTATGTTCGTATGACAAAATAAAAACCTTGAACGTGATGCGAAATATTGACACTACAACAGTAGTCAAATAGGGCTTTCCACTGTGCACTAACCCTACCTCTGCACAACACAACTGATGTTCTCAAACACATTCAGAAGGCAAGGGATTCCACAAATTGACTCTTGACAAGGCACACCCGTTACTTGAAAACCATTCCAGCTGACGACCTCATGACGCTGATGAGAGAAGCCAAGAGTGTGCAAAGCTGTCATCAAGGCAAAAGGGGGCTACTCTGAAGAATCTAAAATAAAAATCCTATTTTCTGAATGTTGCTTGGAGAATGTTCTTCTTTTGTTATCATGTAACATTGAGGGAACGTTTTATAAAGAACATCTTTAATCTGTTACCCCAACAACGTCCAAAACACATCCTCAGAATGTTGCAGGCAAAACGTTCCACCTTTGTAAACATATCACAATAAAGGAAAGTTTTATAAAAAACGTTCTGTCATCTCAGGCCTTAACCTGTTAAGCCCTGAGCCTGTTTTTCAGGTTTCAGGCTCGAAAATGACATTCCCAGAACAAATGACCATATCTTCCCTTCTAAAAGGGTTAAATTAATAATATTTTTTCTCAAAGTAATGATAAACCTGTGAGTTGGATGTAGAGAAGTCAGAATCAATATAGATGTTTTTTATTTTAAAGAAAATTCAGATTTTACATAGTAAAAAACTGTAAATTATAGTGTCCGTCCAAAAATTATTTTTTACTTATAGTGAAAACCACCCTTGGATGATGGGTTAGTAGACTAAAAGCTTTAGGAATCCAAAATACAACATATAATAAGTACCCTGTATCAAGATTGATGCAAAACAAGTGACATTTGACCTTTTTAGAGAGATTTAGCAAAAAGAAACCACTTCTGGGGTCATTTGGGTGGATTTTCCATATCTCTGGCCCCCCTTGCTCGATTTTGATGGTTGACACCTCTTTCTGACCGTTAGAGCCAATAGAATCGAAGGGGGAGTCCCCCACACAAACACGTTGTGAAGAGAAAAGGTGGGGGCTTCGCGCATGTAATTTAGCATCAGAGTGAACCTATCTCTAGCTTTGACATCTGGAAACGGAAAAGCAGTTTTAATGCTTATGGATTATCAGAAATAATTTCAAAGGGACACAGACACATTAGATTAACCTATGGATTAACTTCAGCAGCGTTTTTATCGTTTTAATGCCATTGAAGACTACAGAGCCAAGGTAAAAATGTTAGCATTTTTAGCTACCTAGTGTCACCTGTTTTGATGTCCGTTTTTGCTTATAATGTCACAAATACGTATAATTCAGTGGTAATGTCGGTGTCAATCGATTCTGTGTCACCTCACGATGTGAAATGATGTGTTGGATGTGGTGAAAAGATAAATAATAAGGTTTTGTGAGTGATTTTCGGTGCAGTAAGGTGTTAGCATTTTTCGCTCGTTGCTAATTCAGAGGCTCAGTGTTAGCATTGTGGGTTTTATTTTGAAAAAAAAAAAAAAATTATCAGTTAGATGAGTTTCTTCCCATTACATGGATATAAAACATTCATAGTTTTATTAAATGAACATGCCCTCAGACACTGTTTCCTGCAAGATGTTGCGGCAGTACCCCGGCACCGGGGTCTCTCGGGCTTAACAGGTTAATAACATCCTCAAAACATCCTCTGAATGTTGCAGTTAAAACGTTATCTCTTAGTTAACCTTAAACCATATAGAAACATTATTTGAAATAATAAACATCCTCAAAAGGTTCTTTGAACATCAGATGAAAACATTTTCTTTAAAACATTATTAGAACCTGTAGGTAACGTTAGCCAAAGTTGTGAGAATGTTCCCTGCTAGCTGGAAAAGCAGATCAATTCAGATCATCTTGCTCTTTCTAAAGTCAGCGGCAGTCACCAGCAAAACCACGAGGATTTCCTTGTGCTTTCCTGACATCAGCCATCCTGCGGCTGCCTCTGTGGCGACAGTGACTGCGACCAAATGTAGGACAAACTTTAACGTGAGTCGGACGGAGCTGCATAAACGGGATGTATTATTCATCCTCACATGGCCAGCCTTTTAAATGTTTCCTGAAAGCTTGTGCAGGAGTGATACAATCCGACATCTGTAAGTGCACTTGGTAAATGTCCTGTAGTCACTTCAACTTGCTCTGCGTTCGAGGCAGAGAGTTCACTTCCTCTGCTTTGACTTATATAATATTCTTAGGATTTTAGAGTTTATAAAAACATTGATATTAAGCTTAATTAATGAGAAAGCCTTATCATCATGCTGGACAAAATGGCCTGTAAAATCACATATGTGAAGATTTTAAGAAGAAGGGACCACTCTCCTTATGTGCAGGAGGGTTTCCACGGTTATATAGTACATATATTAATGATGGATTATGGATGAGCAACATATGATACAAACTGTGAAATTATGGTCATCACTCATGTGAAAACCTTGTAACTCCGGTTAGGTAAGCGCATTTTATTTTTTTAAGCTGAATGATCCCAGATTTGTAAGGTTTTTTGAACAGTTAAATAAAAATAAATGTATGTTACCACTGCCCTCATTTAGTATAGGCAGTTGATGAAGATCAATAAAGGATTATTACCATTTTTGACAATTAATGTCACAGAATCAAAATTATGATTTGAATATTTTTTGTACAATTATACGTTAACTAGAACTCAAACGATTAGTTGATCGGAAAAAATGAAATTTCAATTCATTTGATAATGGTGTAATACGAATTTCTATAAGGATAAAATGCTAAAAACTCACTCTGCCATCAGCCAGATGCCACGAACACTGCCATCCACCTCTCCATCCACCAGAGCTTCCACGTCTCTCACGCCCTGACTCAGAGTTCCAGGCTGAGGAGACAAATGCACAGTGTCACTGTCTACATTTCCATTGTGACAATAACAATCAGTGCACAGAACGCTTAAGGGGCAATCTTTGAGGCAGAAAGGCAGATGGAACTCGTACTCCAACAAAATGTTAGCATGTCTTTGTGTCAAACAAAATGACAATAAACAAAAAACAAAGCCTCTGCTGCATATGAAAATGATTGCAAATGAAGAAAGCTGAGTGTGCAGCTACTGTGTATAAATCTGAGAAACTACTGAAGAAGAGAAAGCTTCTGTACATAATACATTACACATCCAATTGTCAGCTTTGAGCATTTTCTAATGCAATCCACACTCAAACTGTCATTTTAGATTCTATCTTTGCACGTTTTATTATTTTAATGGCAAGTTAAAGATATTAGGAGTCCATAAGGGCTGCTGACAGTTCAACAGCAATGTGAGCATGGAGCTGAGTCGGAAACACGGGACCCCAAAACTAACATACTGTGAGGTGCTGATATTATTCCATTTGTTAATGATGTGTCATATACTGTAGGTGTTTATTAATCACTATGGATATTTTGGTCTATATCTAACTGTATATTATGTAATATAGAGGTTTATCTCTTTAGACATTACAGTCTGCATGAATCCAGGTGCAGTGCTAGGTAACTTGATTTGAAGGAAAGGGAAGTTGTAAAACATTTGCATAGACATTTGCATTGTAGACTACAGTATTTTGCCAATGTTTTATCAGGGTTTTCGAAATAAACAATGGGCAATTCCTGCGGGAAAAGTTAAATCTTTCTGTCTTTGAATATATAAAATGCAATGTAGGTTTATTTTAAAGAGCAATCACTTTGGATTTGAAACAGTGGTAAAGGAAGTATTTTTCAGAAAAATGAGCGTGTGTGCGTGCGTGCACTTCAGATAAAACATTAGCTTTAAGCTAGCTCCGGTACAGTATATCGCGACGTTGCTTAGCTTTAGTAATATTCTTCTAGACTTTTCACACATGTCAGCTGCACGTGATGGGACATTTCTAAAACTTGTTTCATTTCACCAACAAGACCATACAGTAGAAGTGTTTACCCTCAACACGAAGAACTTTCTGATCCGGAACTGGTCCAGAGGGGGCTCCGCAGAGGTGTGCTGGGGGCGGGCCGCTGCCTCCTCCTCTGCCCGCTCCTCTGCCCGCTCCTCCGCGCCCTCTGTGGGGGCAGCGGGCAGACTGGGCTCCGGGCCCACGGGAGAACAGATCAGCGGGGGCTGCTCCTCCTCACCGGGTGCTCCTTCCTCCGCGACTGCTGGCATGGTGGGCGTAAAGACCCCAACAGCACTGTAACAGACGGCTCACTTCTTTCAGAACACTTGACTGAACAGCAGGCAGGATTTATAACGACCTGTCAAGTTCCTCCTGTGACGTCCCTAGTATCGAAACGTCAGTCGTTCCACATGTATTTAATCTCTCAATCCCTTTGAGTCAACATGGTTCAAACTTATTGTAATACAAAGTATTTACTTACAACAAATGATCGATGTGGCAGAAGGTGTTGAAAGCTAGATTTAAAGGAAGCAGCGACAGGTGTAGCATTAACTTCCTGTTCCGACTCCAACGTTTGTTTAATGGGCGTGCTCATCTCAGTGAGGCACACAGCTGCTATTACCCTGACATACAGTCTGTGTTGTTACTACCTTTATATATTATTACCCTTATAGTCTATGTGATTAACCTGACATACAGTCTCAGGGGCGTTTCCTGGACCTGGAAACATTCGGGGCTTAGACCACAGTTCATTAAGGTACATTAAGGCAGGGGTTCCCAAACTGGGGGTCTTTTTTTTTATTACAAAATAAAAATGTAAAACATTTAATTTTTTTATTTTCTTTTAGAATTTTTTTTTAATTATTATTTTTAATAATAACGTGTGCATAGACATTTTTTAGGGGCGGACTGGCCATCTGTAGAATTTTAAAGCAGCCAGGTTTCCTAAAAATGAAGTTTCCATAAATTGAACTCATTTGGACTGCGGTCAAGCCAGCCTCCACTTCGGAAAACACAGTCAAGCCAGCATCCGCGTTGTTTTGCGGTGCGCGAATATCCTATGCATTACGGTAGCGGTCTGGAAAAACTGCCTTCAAAATAAAAGTGCTTACTCGGTCAATAACAATTTTAGCAAACATATTGAAATATGTACTATATAGGCCTAATGTGATCAATAATAATGTAAGACAAACTACGTATAACTACCACATTATAACTGACTGAATGTAAAACTTAAAGAGTTTCAAAATAAAAGACCTTTGAAGTCTCATATATGAGCTATCATCCCTCTGTATTTAGATAAGAATAAAACAAAAACCCTCCAGTATCAAAGACTAATATCACTTCAGGGTGATAGCAGGACACCCGATATAGTCACTCAGATAAAATCAGGACAATCTGATGTAGAGTTTCAAAATAAAATACATTTGAAGTCTCATATATGAGCTATCATCCCTCTGTTTTTAAATAACAGTAAAACAAAAACTGTCCAGTATCAAAGACTTATTTCACTTCAGGGTGATAGCAGGACACCCCATCTAGTCACTCAGATAAAATCAGGACAATCTGAGGTACAGTTTCAAAATAAAAGATCTTTGAAGTCTCATATATGAGCTATCATCCCTCTGTGTTTAGATGAGAATAAAACAAAGACTGTCCAGTATCAAATAATAATATCACTTCAGGGTGATAGAAGGACACCCCATCTAGTCACTCAGATAAAATCAGGACAATCTGATGTACAGTTTCAAAATAAAAGATCTTTGAAGTCTCATATATGAGCTATCATCCCTCTGTGTTTAGATGAGAATAAAACAAAGACTGTCCAGTATCAAATAATAATATCACTTCAGGGTGATAGAAGGACACCCCATCTAGTCACTCAGATAAAATCAGGACAATCTGATGTACAGTTTCAAAATAAAAGATCTTTGAAGTCTCATATATGAGCTATCATCCCTCTGTGTTTAGATGAGAATAAAACAAAGACTGTCCAGTATCAAATAATAATATCACTTCAGGGTGATAGAAGGACACCCCATCTAGTCACTCAGATAAAATCAGGACAATCTGATGTACAATTTCAAAATAAAAGATCTCTGAAGTCTCATATATGAGCTATCATCCCTCTGTTTTTACATAACAGTAAAACAAAAACTGTCCAGTATCAAATACTTATTTCACTTCAGGGTGATAGCAGGACACCCCATCTAGTCACTCAGAGAAAATCAGAACAATCTGATGTACAGTTTCAAAATAAAAGATCTTTGAAGTCTCATATATGAGCTATCATCCCTCTGTTTTTAGATAAGAATAAAACAAAAACCCTCCAGTATCAAAGACTAATATAACTTCAGGGTGATAGCAGGACACCCCATCTAGTCACTCAGATAAAATCAGGACAATCTGATGTGCAACAACACAGTCCTCACGTACTGTGGGCGGTTGGTGAGGTAGTCCAGGATCCAGGAGGTGAGGTGGTGATCCACCCCCGAGAGCTGCAGCTTGTCCCCCAGCAGCGGGGGCTGGATGGTGTTGAAGGCACTGGAGAAATCAAAGAACATGATCCTCACAGTGCCCCCAGCCTTCTCCAGGTGGGAGAGGGACCTCTGCAGCAGGTAGATGACGGCGTCATCCACCCCGATGGCAGGCTGGTAGGCGAACTGCAGCGGGTCCATTGATGGTCTCACAAGGGGCCGAAGGTGTCCAAGGACCAGCCTCTCCAGGGTCTTCATCAGCTGTGATGTCAGCGCCACCGGCCGGTAGCTGTTGAATTCCTTGGGATGAGGGGTCTTTGGCACAGGTACCACACAGGACTTCTTCCACAGTTGTGGTACCCTCCCTTGCTTCAGGCTCAGGTTGAATAGAAGCTCCACAATCCCAAACAGCTGATCCGCACAGGATTTTAGGAGCCTCGAGCTGATGCCATCTGGACCCGCCGCCTTCCTCGCCTTACACTTCTGCAGCTCCCTCCTCACCTGGTTGGTTGTGAAGGACAAGGTGTTGTCAGCGGGTGGAGAAGAACCAGGGGCTGATGTGAGAGGTGTCTGTGAGCTGATGGCCGGGGGCTGAGTAGAGGTGCGAGTGGTGACAGGGCCATTTCCAGGCAGTGGGGACAATGGGGGGTGCAGCAGGGGACAATGGGTCGGGGGGGGGGGGGGGGGGGGAGGCGCATGACTGATCAAATCTGTTGAAGAAGATATTCAGTTTGTTTGCCCACTGGCGGTCCCCCCGGACCTGGGAGTCTGGCTCTTTGTAGCCAGAGATGGTTTTCAGGCCTCTCCAGACTCCGCTGACGTTCCTCTGCAGCAGCTGTTCCTCCATCCTCTTCTTGTAGCTGTTTTTCCCCTCTCTGATTTTCCACCTCAGCTCCCTCTGTACAGTCCAAGTAGCTATCTAAAGCTTTAGCTTTTTCTTGAATATTTAGACCGAGCAGGCTTCCCTGATGTCTAACGGTATTGTGTTCCACAGCTTTGGGGCATAATTAACGAAGGCCGCATCACCAATTTTCTTATTTCTGCCTCTGTTTAATTGTTAAGTAGGAAACATTTAAACAGCTGACACAACAACTTGCCATGGGCCCAAGGCGCTTGAGGCAAAATAGGCAATGATGAAGGCTTAACAATTAATATAATGTAGACAGGTTCATATTATTATAAGTGATACTAAAAATATTGTAAATGTTCTTGTATTGTAAGTGTATCAAATCAAATCAGGTTTTATTTATATAGCACATTTAAAAGCGATTTTTGGTCGAGCCAAAGTGCTGTACATGTAATAAAAACACATTACTACAATCACAATAAAAGACAATAAATTACAACAGATATATATAAAAAATAAAATAAAAAAAAACACAAGGAAAAGTCAGGAGTCGTGCTCCGCTCTAACTAGAAAGCCAGAGAGAAGAAGTGTGTTTTTAGTGTAGATTTAAAAACCCCTAGGGTCTGGGCCGACCTCACATGGAGGGGCAGAGTGTTCCAGAGCCTACGGCCAGCTGCTGCGAAGGCTCGGTGCCCTCGGGTTTTAAGCCTGGTCTTGGGCACTACCAGCAGCAGCTGGTCAGCAGACCTTAAAGCTCTGGCTGGGGTGTAGCGCTGGAGGAGTTCAGCTATATAGGCCGGAGCCAGCCCATTTAGTGCTTTAATTTTTTTATTATTTTAATTTTTTTATTTAAATTAATTTAATTAATTTAATTTTAATTATTTTAAAATCAATTCTGAACCGAACTGGAAGCCAGTGTAGTGAGGCCAGAATAGGGGTGATGTGGTCATGCTTTTTGTGGCCAGTCAACAAACGTGCAGCTGCGTTTTGGACTAGCTGCAGGCGTTTAATTGAGGCCTGGTCCATACCCACATACAGAGCGTTGCAATAGTCCAGTCTCGAGGTTACAAAGGCGTTAATAACCCTTTCTAAGTCATTAAAAGATAAATACGACTTGGTGTATTGTATCAAAAACACATATATTTGTTGCAAGTGTATTTAAGAATAGGAAGTTAACATATATCAGTGCCCCTAAAAATATACCTAATGGTATAGGACAGGGCTATTCAATTAGTTTAGAATGGGGGCCGGTTGATGAAAATGATCGAAAGCAAGGGGCCGGCTTGAAAAAAAAAATGGCTTGAAATATGAGCAATCATATTAAGAGCTTCAGATACAGTAAATACTACAACAGCATAGTGGAGTGCATATATTTTGTTTAATTAAATCAAACATAGCCCCAAGGCCTTTATAAATGGCAAGTTCAGAACTCAGTACATGTGAAGCTAATATAACCATCAACATCATTGGATTTAGATTAAATGATCTAATAATTCACACAAAATAGCAATTTAGGGCCATACACAAACAACAGTGCATATTATGGTATAATAAAAATAAAGACATGTGAGCCATACCACATCAATTGCTTAATTAAAAGCAAAAACAATTATCAAAAGACTTGTATTAATTACAAAACCACAACACACAGCCTTTTAAAACTCAAACCTTTTTTGATTAACATAGTGATAACTGACATACAGTCTGCAACCAACTTGGCAGATATGTGCCATCTAATGAGAGAAATGGCATTTTTTCGATTTAGCAAGAGCAGGGAAGTCGGGAGTATACGTTGTCATGGCAATACGCATACAGTGATGCAGATGCTGGTCAGTGAGGGATGCGCGATTATTAGTTTTTATGGCATTCATGTGTGAGAATGCCGATTCGCACGTGTAAGTCGAGCCAAACATTGTGAGGACAAAAAGTGCAAGACCCCTTGAATGAGGGAATTTCTCGTGGCTGACTTCATGAGTCCAGAACTTTTCAGAACCTGCCAGCTGAAATGACTGTCGCAGGTCATCTGATGACTGAATGTCAATGAGTTCGAGTTGTAAAGACGCCTCATTTAATGTCACAATCAGCTCCTTTGCTTTCAGTGCAAACTCCCCCTCTACATTCACAGAGAAAGGGTCCTTCACAAAT